CTCTGAGCCCTTCGCAGTCCACGTACACCAGACCATCCTGGAGAACGGCCTCATTTTAACAAATTACAAAAGCTTAGTTTTCTCCATAATGGGAAATACCTGAAAATGAAGTGGAATTTATTAAAATGTTAAAATACGCTGTCAACTTGCAAACAATTATCTGCGTCAGCTTTTCATAAAGAAATAATGGTTACCCAAAAGGATTCTTAAAGTCAGTAACTGAGGGAGGAAAATAATTCTTAGCATTTGCTTCCTCGCTAATGATATGTGACAACCGGGAAGGATTCTATTTCAAAAACAGTAACAATGATTACAACCTCCCCTGTAAACAAGTCACATTTTTCACAACTTCAAAATGTACTTTAATTATCATCACACTTAAAAATAAAACGACAAAAGTTGCCACCCAGCAGTGGATCGTGGCTTTAAAGGTTCCCCAAGGCTAAAGGAAACTCCTCCTTGATGACAGCCATGAGCCATGAGAGGACTCTCTTCAATATCCGAAACATGTTTAATAGGAGCCGCAAAGTACGGTCCAGAAATCAGTTAGGCTGACTTAGTTTAAACTCTGATCTGTTAAATTCAGGACAACAGTTACTATCTCTTGAGATCTTTAAACTTCTTAGTGTGTTTTGACCTCCTTCTTCAAAACCCTTCCCTGCCTCAGAGAAAGCCCAGCACCCCCCCATTCCACCCCACCCCTCCCCACTTCCCCTTCAGACAGGACACAGCCTGGACTCAAGGCCTCCCATAGGCCAGACTTCCTTCTCTGCAGCCCTTTGGGGTGGAACTGCTAATCCTTCTTATTAATTAATGAGATAATGGTGGTTAACCGGAAAGCAATATTAATGCTCACTATCTAGGAAACGTCAACCAAAATTATTTTAGCCTTTTGGTTGGTTTTCCTGGTGTGCAGGACCGTGCTGAGAATCTGGCAATGTTTTGATACAGAATTGAGAAATTCAGGATTGGAGGATTTGTATCAGACCTGAACACATAGGTTTCCTCATGAAGTTTTGCTTTTTTTTTTTTTTTTTTTTAACATTTACACTGTTACACATTAGTCACTAGGAAGAAAAGTTAGATCCTCTCAACATGTCACTGTAAAATTTGGAAGGTTGCAAACTGAGGGAACTACAAATTACTTGAGAAATAAGCAGTGATAGGACTGAAAGCGAGAATCAGTCATAATGAATGCATTAAATATCACTATATTCAGCAAGTCTTCCCCACATCCTTAGTGCATACCCCACACCCTACAGCACACTTACATCCCAGGAAGGTGTCCTGTGCAAGCCTTGTCTGGTTTTTGTTTTGTTTTGTTTTGCTTTGCTTTCATGAATGCAATAACAAAGACAATATGGGGACTAGGTACCACCTGCCCAAGAATCATTGGACATCTTTAACATCTTTGGGAAAATGGAGGCCACTTTAGAGCTATTTTTTCCTCTGATCTATCACACAGACTTAAAAGAAAGAAAGAAAAAAAAACCTAAAAAATAAAAAGGAAGGGTTTTATATTAGCTAAGATTTGCTGCAGCAAACAAGCAAGCAGCTTTCATTCAGGGATTGTCAAAAACTTTCCAGTGTGCCCACTGCAATGCGGATGCCAACCAACGAATCAAAGGCATTCAGCAACTAGACAAAGAGGGTCTGATGCCAACCTCGGTGCCACTGGCAACCATTATTGGCATCAAGCACAGTGTCTGCCTTTTTTTTCCCCCTCGCCTGGCACTTCACAAACAAAATGGCGGTTCTTGTAGCAACGGAACAGCCGAAGCGCAGCCCTCTGAATCAATAACGTCAAGTGATTTTATGGATTTAAACGCAGTTACTCCCCCATGATGCGTATATGGGAGGTAAAGCGGGGGGCTTATATAATTTTATAAATGACTGTATTGAACATGACCCTTTGCTAATGTGGAGAAATAGAAAAATGGACTAAATTGCGGTCAGTCGGGCTATATGCATAGGAGAAGCTGAATAACAAAGAGATTTAGCTTTAAAGAAAATACTGCCTCGTGGCCATGGGATGCAAAGGGTCTAATGAACTCTATATCAAAAGTGATTTCGAAATGCATAAATTTTTCCCAAAACCATATCAGATGCAGATGTAGTACTAGAGCTTGTGTCAAAGCTCTAGTAACTCTTTCCACATTTCAAAAAAGATGAGGCTGCTGGGCATGAAGGAAAAAAAAAAAAAAAAAGAAGTGTGGGTTGAACCAAAAGAGAAAGAGGGAAAAAGAAAAGCATAGGAAGTTGGCCAACAATGGAACTTTATTATATGTTGGTCTTTATTTCATCCTCCAGAAGAGATGCAGTTTGTGATCTTGTATAAATAACCAAGAGGACTATTGACATTTCTAGATCTGGAAATTGTCAATATATTGTAACATCACTCCACACTGCAATGCGGATGCCAACTAACAAATCACAGGCATCCTGAGCTAAACAAAGAGGGTCTGATGCCAATCCTGGTGCCAGTGGCAACCACCTTTGGCATTCTCTCTGTTCTTTCTCATGTTTTCCTCCCAGTCGTTTAGAAGTGGAGAGACAGAGAGAAAGGCGGGGAAAGGTAGTTTTGCTGCTCATTCTGTTGTAAACATTACAGCTTTTTTTCCTTATTTTTCCTTCATGTTTCTCTTCATACTTCTTTGCCTGATTTATAAAACTGACTTAAGTGGGTTTTCATGTACTTAGAGGAGAAATAAAGAGTCATGATGAGAGATAGGCAGCACTTTGACTGACTACAGACTTATCTTTGTAAATGCCTTCTTCAATCAATTGCACTGCAAAACAACATAATTAACCTACATTTGACCAAAAAAAAAAAAAAAAGATACGAAATTTGAAAAAAAGGAAAACGCAAAGGCTTCCTGATGTGACTTTTTCAAAGAAAGAGCCAACAGATGTAAAGAAGAGATGACGCGCTGGCAGGTAGGAGGGGATACAAATTAGATATACACGGTAAAATAATGAAAGCTTTTCAGGACAGAGACTCAAAACAACAACAAAATCAATGTTCTATCTGAAAACATGGTCTCCAAGAGTTGCTTAAAACTTCATGATTACCATGACCTATGGTGCAATGCAGAAGGCATTTACGCATTTTTCTTTCTTCAATCTATCTCCACAAATCCAAAGGATATGTTCTTTATTGTCAGTTCATCAACCAAGAGAGTTGGCTGCCTGCCCCGGGAATGAATGCACATGCATGCGCACCTCAAGGACTAGCCTTCCAGCAAGTTAAAATGTGAGCAGCAGGGAAGTGGTTGCAAATCTTCCCTCCCTGTACTAAAAAGTTGCATGACCCACTTTTTAAAACTTTGCTTCCAGCCTCGACTTTCACAACACACTTACAACACATTCACAGTCAACCCAACACAGATCTACAGCCCACCTTAGGATGTCACCTCCTAGACAGCTGTCAATCAAATTAAGTGTCATGTGTTAATGAGCTTTTATTTTAGGACACACAGGGCAAAAATGTATTTTTCCCTAAACCATCATTATTTGGACCTTAATTCTTAAATCCACGGTGATGGCAAAAGCAATGTTTCACAAAAACAAACAAACAAAAAAAACCCGGTAGTTTCAAATATATGATTTTGAGCATCTTATTTAAAATCAAACTAAGAATTTTTTTTAAATGACATTTATGCATATCTCTAAAACTATATCAAGGAAATATAAAGACAAAAAACATGTAACAAGTACCAAGATTTCTGAGCCAGAAGAGTAATTTTGATTTATTTTCTGGATAATGATAAGGTTCATACCAATTTGCTGAATCCCAGATTTATATAACGAACAGCAGATAACCCGTCTGCCACCTCGCTATCTGCAGGCCATTTCCCTATGACCAGGCCAAGTTAGGAAATGACCCACCATCTGTGGCAGATCAAACTTCAGTCCACTTTTGGTATGCTGCTTTCTTAAAATGATGTTTTACTACGGACTGTTGCTAATACGTGGAAATCCATATCCTGACACATTTATTTGAAGAAAAGAAACTGTCACTTATTTAAAGGAAAGTACAAAATAATAATAAAAAAAAAACATATTTCATGAACTCAAAAAATGCTCAGCAAAAATATCCCCTATTCTTGACTCACCCAGGCAACATTTATACCACTGTCTTTATCAAGTCTTTTTTTTATAGGTACGGTATGTGGTTTCTGCATTCTTTTTGAGATTTATTTTAAACCAGTGTAACCAGTCCACTTTCTGTTTTTGTTCTCTAAGAAGAGCTGCAGCTTCTCTCCTCAGAAAGTTTTGTGAATTCACATTCAAGTAAACTAATGATATTAAGTGTTCCCAAGTCATGTTGGGAAAATATTATACCATAAATTATTTAAACAAGAACTATCAACCATTTAATCTAGGGCGAATATTACACAATCCATAGGAGGTGTCGATAAAAATATTTAAATTAAATAAATTCAGGTTCACGTAAGATACACTTTCTGATATTGGCTATCTTAAGCATTTTGTAACAGGAAAACATAAATTCTATTTTCGGTGCAATAGGACTAGATTCGTGAACAAAGTTCATCTACCTTGCTAGTTACGAGGCCAATACAAAGATTATTAAAAAGCGGTTTGACTCTTCATAAATAAAGTTACATTTTCAAATTGAGAAACAATGACTAGACGCAAGGAATGCAGCTGAGGACAAAAAGTGAATTGTAATAAACTCCAGTTTTCAGACTAGTCTGTGCCTTTGAAAAGGTATATTATTTCAAAGACATCTGAAAACGCATCTCTTTGTGGTCTTTTGCAAAATATCCACGCCTATCCAGGTACAAAAGCTCCACGCCTGTGTCCATGGCTGGCCCATGGCAGTGGACGTGGCAGTGGAAGAGGGCAGGCCACTCCACCCAGCGTGGGTAAAGGAGATCTAGGGGCCTCGAGGACCATCTAACCCAAGCCAGCTATTTCGTATACGGGGTTTGTGGGCAGTGTTTGCCCTACTAGAAGAAAGAACGATGTGCTCCTACCTTGCTCCTGCACGTAGTATGCCAAAAACAAATCAAGCTCCTTAACTGATACTGTGATATGATGTGGCTGGACACAAAGTGCTGGGTTTGTGCAATGAGGGGATTTCATGAGCCGCTCTCCATCGGTACTTTCCAAGGGGATGCCTTTGAACAGGATCACCATGACTAGATCCAGACGCCAGACTTTGTCTGCCTGTCGCAGGCAGTCGATTCTCCTAATCTTACCCTTCTGGTCGGGATTGGATAAGACACAGCACGGGTGCTTCTTGCCAGTCACGGTGAGCACAAAGTCCTCTCGGTACTCCTGGCGGATGTCTTTGCGCAGCTTGGCCAGGAGCCTGGATGCCCACTTCTGTTTGATTTCAGGCTTTTCGCTGAGAAGCTCATCTTTGACTGCTCTTTCTTCGTCCTTTGACATTCGTTTCTCGTGCTTTTTAAAGTACTTGCGTTTCCGAGCCTGCAGGTTGAACCAAGTGTAGGCGATTGCACGGACATGTGGAAGGAGTGCCTCGATGAATGGGTGAAATTCATCCTGTTGAAGATGAAGGTTGGCGGGGGGCGGGGGGAGAAGACAGACACAGTCAGCTTAGTTTTAAAGGCTCAAAAATAAATAAATAAATAAATAAATAAATAAAACTATAATCCATTCCCAATTCACTCCAAAAAGTTATGCATAAAAATCACATTCCTTTCTTATTTAAAATTATCAAAACAGCAGGAAAAGAAGAAAACAAAGTCCGCCAAGCAGTCCCTTTTCCACCAAAATTTACAGGTTGATCGTGCCTCCTAAAAAGAAAATAAGATTTATATTTGTATTTCCACTCTGGCCCCATCCCCCTCATTCCCACCATGCATCCTACATTCTCTAAAATGTAAGTAACCAAGGTGCCTGGCACCCAATTTAATATTTAAATATTTGATTGACCAACTAACACGAAGCAGTACCATTTTACAAAGAACACAGTGAGATTTTTTTTTTTTTTTTAATCGGAGCAGAGCTGTTCAGAAGGCAGGAGCGATGCCACAGTTCATTTCTCTTCTCTGTGGCACAGAAACACAAAGCATATAGATGCTCAGTGTAATGCCACACAGTTCCCGCTTTTGGAGCATGCTCTCAGCAAGAGGCTGCTGGTGGCACAAAGAGCATGCGCCATTAAACTTGATCCATTTTCTTATCAAACGTCCAACATTCCAACACTGAAACAGCACCATTCCAAGAGTGGTAACTAGAGAAACCGGTATACAGTGAGGGAAAGTGGGCAAAGGACACAGCTCGCCGTATCAGTGTCCTGAACAGAAGGTTTCCATACTTTGAGCCGTGCGTTCTCTCCCCCCTCACCAACACCAGCCTCCAAGGCACACGCGCGCGCACACACACACACACACACACTCACTCTCACACTCTCCTATTCTCTCACGGACACACCGACACACTCTTTTCATTTTTCAATAGAAGTTTCCAAAGTTGAAAACAAAAATTATGTGAAGGTTCTTCAGGCAGCTTTCCTAGAGAATCCGAAGCCCCACGGAGTCCGTTAATTTGTTAACTGATCACATGAGTACGGCAATTATTCTAAACCCCTTAAAAATCAATCTGAGGTGAACAATGAGAAATGGCAACTTGGCACCAACTTTACATGCTTTGTGTCTCTGCGTGCGGTGGCAGGGGGACACCAGGAGTGCACCGCTGGTCACTTACTGCTTTTGTGGAATCAATACAATTCATTTGCTACGTGTGTGAATTCTTCGGCCAGAGTGTGGGTGCACGTATGCACGGCTTGTGAGTCTGCACGTGCATCGACTCTACAGTATCCTGTCTTTTGAATGAAGTGGTTTACCTTAGGCTCCTGCATTTTCCCAGCCTGTTCCATCTAAGCCTTTTTTTAAGGGCGGGGGAGGGGGGGCAGTGTGGAATGGCAGATTATCTTCACCTATAGATATTCCAAGTTACTTCCCAAAGCAGTTTGTGTTTCATTACTTCCTGCCATAGGTAAATCCTGTCTCATAAGCTGAGGCCCTATTACTGCTCAGAGAAAGAGCTAACATCCTGGGCAGGCATACTGTACGGGAGCAATAAACCAATATCCGAAGCAAATAAGAACAGCAGCCACTTTTCTGAACGCCCTGACTGTACTGTCACCCCAACCAGGAAAATAACTTTCACTAACTTATTGGATCCCAACTTAGAATTGACACACTAGGGCTGGTCACCCTGAATTACGAGAAATAAATTCTATCTAACCAGCAGTCTGATGAATGCCATGAGGGTAAAGATGAAGAAAGTGCAACTAATGACACTGGAACAAAGAAGGGGGCCAAAGAAAATCCCCAATGGGTTTGAATCCATTTTTAAGATGAAATTCGAGTTTTCGGTGCTAAAGACTGCAGCGTGTTCACGGTATGTGTATCACACCCGGAAAAGGTGCATGTCCCATCCAATCAATAATGCAGTTATCAAGTGTTTTAACATATTGCTATAAAAACGTTCCTCCGGCAGAATGAGTATAAATCAAAATTTCATAACAATACAGAATGCAGATGATTACATCACAGCATGAGGCATAACCAAATGCCATAGAGGAAATCATTAAACCGATCAGTAGTTTCCAGCAGAGATTTGAACAATTCGGTTACTATGTGAGCACATTAAACTAGGCCATGGAAAGAGTTAAACCACAATCTGTTCTTTGTGTGGGAAGGCAGCCCTGCTCACAGCAACCACAGCCCCATGATAAGACCTCCCTATCTCCATATACTTTCTGATGCCATGCTTTCAGCTTTCACTGTAACTACAAAAACTTTGTTTATCCCCCTTAGAAATAATGCAAAGGAAGCCCTGTTGAAGGAAGTGTGGACTTAAACATGCTTTGGGAACTCACTTCCTATAATCTGACTTTTACTACGATTTATTGATACGATTAAAAAACATACATACATACTCATCAGCTAAGGGGTTGAGAATGTAAAGAATACATGGGGATAGGAGGGGGAGTTTTACCGTTGCCATGCTTTTTAAAATGCTGTATTATTGCAATAGATATTAAGCAGTGCGGTAACTCTTAAGTGCTTACATCCTTAAGTACTATGTTCAGTGACATTTCATTTTCTTATTAAGACATCAAACATACTTTTGATTAAATTTGTTTGAGTTCCAAATCATCTGTCATGTAATAAATCCCAAAATTTTAGTAAGTTATTTTAAACAATCAAAATGCAAATTTGAGAACTGAATTTGGAATTTCTTAGCAAATGCACACAAAACAATGTGGGTTTTTTTTTAAGGTTGCCTTGAGTTTGTTGCCAATGTTGCCAAATAATGTTTTAAAACATACTTTTTTTTTCCTTATTGACAAATAGAAATAGCAAACTTTTTCAGTCCACAAAGTTGCCTTATAAATATGTTTCAGGGCTTTAATATTCTGTGGATTCCTTTCAAGCGAAACACTTGACAAGGAGACATAACCTCCCAAAAAATGATGATAAGTACAGGTTTGTTATAAGTCACATATACTTCTGTACTAACAAGCCTAAAATGTCACCTCTCAAGTGTGACTGTTTTCTAGCACTAAGTTGCAATATATTTTTAGTAATTTTGAGTGACATGAATATGAAGCATAGTAACTGTCTTCATCCAAAAAAGAAGTGATTAAGGTATTCAAATGTCCTAATTAATAGGTTATCACAATAACACTTTAAACCATTATGAAAGCTTTTTTTTTTTTTTAAAGCTAAGCATATAAGTAATCTAAGATCTAATGGCTCTATACTAAGGCAATGTGCCACCTCACTTTTAGAATTTTTATTGAAATTCATTGACATTTCTCTTTTAAAACTTCCTTTAGTTGAACTAAATTGATAAAATAGCCAAGTTACAAATATCAAATATAAAAGTAAACAATCTTAATTCCACCAGAAATATTTATTTTTCTTTATAGAAACAATGGTTTTCATGAAAGGAAAACAGAAAATTAGATCAATATAGAGGTGTAAGAGTAAATACTAGATATTCTTGGGACACTGCTACGATAATAAACCATTTAAAATATGTTCCATGAAGAACTTGAAATTTTAATAATTCAATGCAATCATGCCAAGTAAAAGTTTTATTAAGGGTTTACATTATTTTTAGAAAAAGCAAAATATTAAATCATATATGATGGTTCTTATTTTTCCTTTTATACCTGATTTGTACTGAGGTATATGTACTGATTTATAGGGGTATCCTGATGCTTTTACATAACATTTTGCTAAATATTAACAACTTAAGCTGTAGTTCCTTTTGAAATTAAAATTCTTTCTAAAACCTAGATACTTTATTGCAACAACTGAGACACTTTGTAAAGTTTTCTGCCAATTAAGAATGTTTCTCTATTCTGTATTTACATATCCTAAAAAACATTTTGCCATAGCTAACAGACTTTTATAATACAAAGCTAAACTACCGGTCTGATATAAAAGTAACACTGTTCATGTGCTCTTACTTTTGCAACACCTTACATTACCTATAAAGTCACAGAGATATTAAAAGAGAATTGGAAAGCTACAGTTCCTTCTGGAGTATAGGCCTGAAATCCCCAAAACAGTTTTAATACGTCAACCTAAATTTACATTATTAAAACAAGATAGAATGTTAGTCATCATGAATTAGTGTTGGTAAGTATGTGTTCTTGAATACTAATGTGATAGCTGAATGATTGTGCTGTATATGCTCCTAATATTCCATATGTCACGATGCTACAATGTTATCTCCAACTTATTGAAATTAAGATAAAGCTAGTGACTTTACAATGCATATTTAGAGGAAATAAAAAATGCAGTGTAATCGCTAGCAAGGTTTCTGAGCAGCTGATGCTAGAAATACAAATTAATATAGAAAAGCAATCCTTTACAGGTGAGAATAAGTCATGCAGTTACTTTGTAAGCGAAAAATCTTGCCTCAATTTGTTTTATTTGAACTGTGCTTCAATAATGTAAAAATAATACCAAATGAATATGGCTTACCAGAAAGAAAAAAAAAATCCTGCTGATAGGTAATATGAAAGGTAACTTTTACAACTAAAGGCAATCCCTTATACCTGAAACAATTTCATCATCATATTTATTTGGCCATTATACCTAGCTTTTAAAATACAAATAACTCAGCAACTCATTTTTCCAGTTTTGTTAAATTAAAGTGCACGTTACTTGCTGAAAATAGCCATATCTAAGTTAATCATACACAGATGCCAAACAAAATATAAACAATAAAAAATGTGTCAGCCAAAAAGCTACAGGACTGTATCCAATCACTGAATAAGCCTTATCATTGTTTTCATCTTCATTCACAATTTATGAATGCCTCGGTCCTTTTCAATCACAATGGCTTCTAATTGTCATACAATTGAAATCTTAATCATTTGTCCATTATAAAAATGCATCATCGTGATATTGGATTTTTTAAAAATTGTAACACACCTAAGACCTGGCGACACTTCTTTAACTGTAGTTTTCTACACCAACGTCCAAGAAAATGGTTATCAATTATCAATGGTGACACTTCCTCCTCAAAGCTGAAGTCAACAGTCCCACACTTTTCGGGGTTTAAAATAATGCTTCAAGTAACAACTCTGGGCTAAGATATTTAATTAGTTCGCCAGTTGGTTAGTTAGCTGGGCAGCGATGAAAACTGCCCCCAGGTAAGTCCGTTCGGTCTCACCAGTTTTGCATTCGACCGTCTGGTTTAAAATTATATAAATTGTGCTCTTAAAAATGCACTAAGCTAGTGTTTTATTTCATAACGTTGTTCCTAAAGTCTTAGGACAATTTTCAAAGTGAATTTTTCAAAAATGACCTTACTTTTCCAGCATTACTTTCTGCCTTCCGAGCTACGCCCAAATATTGTCAAATGAACAGGTCTCCACAAAATGAACATGTTCTAAAGTCTTTAACTTTCACCACGACCAACTAACTCGTGTCAACGTAAAGACTGCCTTTGTGGTGTGGTCACTGGAAACCTCAAAGTGCGGATCACGATGGACCAGAGTTTCAGATCCCCAAATTAAGCAAAGGAATGGGTCTCCGGACCACAACCTCCGACTTGCTTCGTCGCCCGCCCACTGCCTGCAGCGGAGTCCAGAGGCGCCCACAAGGACTCGTGCTAGAGACCCCTCGCCCAAGTTCACTGGCTGTTTATTAGGGCTCAGTCCCCCCGTAAAAGCTCCTCTAAAGCCGGAGTGGGTCTCAGAGCTCCAGCGACCGACAGGGGCGACGGGCATCCTGGGCAGGGGCGCCGCACAGCAGCAGGCACTCGGGGGGCCGCGCAGAGGCCAGCGCTCACGGCCCGGGGCCCTGCCCACCCCCGGCGGCCTCGCCCGGCCCAGCCGCCCAGGCAGCGCGCGGGCGTCCGCTCCCCATGCCCAGGGCGCGGGGCCGGGCGCGCGGGGTGGCCTCGGGCGAGCGGCCGCGCGCCGGCTCCCACGCCGCCCCGCAAATCCCGCCGCAACTCCGGGCCACTTCTGCGAGGGACAGGGGTGTGCGGAGGTTAACTAAAGCCGTTAATTGTCCGCAGACGCGAGCAACAAAACAAAACAAAGGCATTTCGGACTAGAGAGAAAGCTCGAGAGAGCGACCGAGACATGTACCTGAGTGAGACAGATGGGAGAATACATCATGACTTCGCCTTAAAACGCACTTTCCCGGAGATGCCCAAGAAAATCTTCGAGAAGCAAGAATTTCATCTATTCATTTTACAGTCATCTGAGCCCCGCGATGCGATCAATCAGGACGGGGCTCTGCGCTGGATCACCGCAACTTCACAACAAACCCAGTCCTCCTTAAATAGCCAAAGATTCAAGTTCACTCGGCGTGCTAGATTTCCCGGGGTGAAATCCAATCTACACTTTTAACCCTCTTGCAGTCCGAGCGCGCTGGCCCTGCTCGCCGAGGCCGCCGCCGCCGCCGCCGCCGGTGTTGGCTGCTTTTCGCCTGGGTTTGGGGATTTATTTTCTGTTTTGCAGTTGTTGTTGTTGTTGGGGGCTAGGGGGTGCGCGAAGGTTCTGGGTGGGTTGGATTGGGGTAGTGGTTGGTGGTGAAATGCTTTTTTAAAAAAGGCGGGGAGGGGGGCGCAGGAGAGAGCGCGGGAGGGAGAGCGAGGAGAATGTGTCACCGCGCTGGGAAAGTTCAAGGTTACAGCCCCGAGCACTGCGGCAGGATTCCGGAGTGGCGATCGCAGGCGAAACTTTGCCGCGAGCCGACCATGTGTGTGCGCGAGGGGGAGCGTGAGCGAGTGCGCGCGGGGGAGCGTGAGCGAGTGCGCGCGGGTGGCGGGGCGCGCGCGGGAGAGGGCCGGGTGGGGGCGGGGTGGGTGGGGGAGAAGGGAGAGGCCGGGGTGAGGGAGGGGGCTCGGGCGCAGGTCTCCCGGGCGGAAGAGGCTCGCGGCGCGGTCCCCGGCTGCAGCCGCCGCCGCCCGCGTCGGCTCTTCCACGCCCGGCCGCCCGCCCGCCCGCCCGCCTCGCCCCGCGTCTGACCCGGCCGAGCGAGGAGGCTGCTGCTGCTGCCGCCGCTGCCCAGAGCCCAGGGGGATCGGAACGAGCTCCTGAAAAATCCCAAACGATAAATCCCGCTCTCCCGCTCGGCTCCAAACTCCGCTCTTTTCTGCTCTGGGCTCTTTTTTCCCCTCCCTCTCTCGCTTTCTTTCGTTGCAAAACTTGGAAGTTGAAAATTTCACCGGTTCCACCCTCTGGACCCCGCTCGAGCTCTCTCCAAATCAGACTTAAGGATTGTTTTATTATTTAATTACACAATCATCGCTTTACTCCTCCTCCTGCAAACGCGCATTCCTTTTGCACCAGCCTCTCCACACCCCCCGCCCCCCACCTTCCTCCTCCTCCTCTTGCTTCTCTTTCTCTTCTCTCTCTCTCTCCCTCTCATTTGTTAAAGGTCTCATATCGGTGCCACAGAACCATGACTTTTTTTTTTTTTTTCCCAAACTAGATCTTCTTTCCGCCCTTTGGGCAAGTCCTGCAGTCTCCCCACACCACCACACACACATACACACCCCCGAAAACCCGCCCTGGCAGAGGTATTTCTGTGCTCGCTGCGGACTCTTTAAGCCGCGGGAACATCCGAGTGGGAGAAGCACTGAGCCGGTCTGGGCCCGAGAAAGGAACGAATGGAAAATTCCCTCACACCCAGGCCGCCCCGGGGCCCAGGCTGGGGCGCCGACTCTCGCACCCGGGGCGGGCGCGGTCTGCCAAGCCCGCCGGCTGAAGGGAGGAGGGGCAGGCCGAGGAGGCGGGGGCCTGAGCGAACTTCGGCTCAAGTAGTTGGGGAGCGCCGGCGCGGACGGGGGCGGGGGGCGGGGTCCTCCGGGGTCTCCCCAGCGCGGGCCCGCGCCCCGGGGCAGCTCCGCAGAAGCGGCGCGCCGTGCCTCGCCGCGGTTTGCCGCCCTCCTGGGGGTGCCCCGTGCACGTGGCCTCGCTCGGAGCGGGAGGATCGGGCAGAGCTGCCGCCGCCGCCTCCTGCTCCCTCCTCCTTCTCCTCCTTCTCCGCCTCCTCCCGCAGCCCGCTCCGTTCTCCTCCTCCTGCGGCCCCGCTGGCTCGCTCCCAATCCCCACCCCCCGGGGCCCGGGGCGCCGGCGGAAAGCGGCTCCCTCCCCGCCGGGGTGCAGGCAGGGCGGGGCGGCGGCGCGCCCGAAGCTGCGGGGAGGGCGGGCGCGCGCGCGAGCGGGGTGCGTGTGCCGCTACAGCCCTGCAGAGGCGGCCGCGCCTGCCTCGCTCCCGCGCGGAGGGCCCCGCCCCCACCTCGGCCGCGAGCCGCGGGGTCCCGAGTGAATGAACTTGATTTCGGGTATTTGGAGGGAGGCGATTTGCCTTGCACTCTTTCTGTACTCGTGCGCGCGCGCACACTTACACACACACACACCCACACTCTTTCTCTCTCTCCCCGCCCCCCAAATTCCGGTTTTCGGCAAGGGGTGGGTGGGGAAGAGGTGGAAGCAAAGGCTGTCCAGACAATGGAGAGAGGAAAAGTGAGTGCCAGGGGCTCCGCGTCTACCTAGCTAGGGGCTGCCGGGGCGGTCGGGACCAAGAAGGGGACTCGGCTGCCCCAGCGCCAGGGCGGGGCCGCCCCAGCTCCCAACGGTGCTGTTGGGGTCTGGCGGGGCTCTCTGATTCTTCTTCTCTTCCTCTCTCCCGGTTTTCTTCCTCAACTTTCTCCTTTCTCTCGCTCTCCCGCTTCTGCCCACCGTCCCCCCCTTCCCGTCCCCCCAGCGGACCTGAAGGAACCAGTGACTTTTTCCTTCACCAAGTGGGAGTTATCCACATCAAGCATTTCACAACGACACATCAAGAAAAGTAGGCAGGTTCAAGTCAACCATGAAATGGTCACTTTTTAACCCCGTCCTGTCCTCATTAGGGAAATGCTCAAACACAGTCCGTTTTCAAAGAGCGCTCTTAATGAGGCCAGCTTGCCAAGTCTACCAGCTGCAGCCCCCGTAAACCCAGAGCCCAAAGAAGAAAGGCGCTGGGGGGTGGGGAATTGAGGAGGCCGGAGAGAGGGGGAGCGGTGGGTCTGGGAAGACAGGTAAAGTCGGGGAAATTTCGAGAACTCCCCCGAGTTAACCCTTCAGGGCACACACCACTAGGAGGAGCCTCCCTGCTCCCCCCACCCCACCCCCAGGCAAATCCTCTAGTCAGCGTTCTGACAACGTTAATTTCCTTTGTGTGGGTCATTTCTTCTTTTTGAAAAGCCAGGATAAAGTTGACAGTCTTTATAGATGAAAGGAGGGAGGTGACAGTCGGGATTAATCCAAATAAATACTCATTTCTCCCTCAGAAATTTTTAGGCAATCTCAGATTAAAAATAAAACCCCCAAAGCATCACTTTTGTATTGCACATTATGCTGCCTCCCTCTTCTCACCCTTGTAGCGAAGTCTGAGGGGAGGGGGCGGGGAAGCGCTACTGATAATACCAGCTTTAACTACTGGAGTTTCCCTTTGAACAAATATTCAATTTAACCGGAGTTAATTTACCATAAAAGACATTCCCCTTGGCACGAATGCACTCATGTCCTTGAACACACCTCTTTGAATGCCTGGACTCTTACAGAAGCCATTATTTCGGGTCTCTTTAAAAATCCGGAGCCCATCTCTCTCTCTTTCTCTCTCTCCCTACTTTCTTCCCTCCCTCCCTCCCTCCACACCACACCACCCCCAGTGAAATCCTGGCACCCAGAGAGCTCTCCTTTCAGCCAGAGATCCCAGAACCAGCCGCTGTCCCCTGGCAAAAGAGGCCCAGGGCTGAGCCCTGGGCAAGTGTCTGCAGACAATGTACCCCTCCTCTCCTGTTAGTTTCCCTTACCAACAGAAATCATTTCCCTCTGCCACCCAAACCAGATTGCATCCAAAAGTTTCTCATAAGCTTAAAAATGAAAAGCGAAAAATTGACAACTGTTACACAGAAGAGCCCACAAATCTACAGCAGCATAAGGGTGAAGAAGCAGCGACAGACCCAGGTAAGAACCCAGACAAGTGGAGATGTTTGGGGCTTCCTAGGCCTAGCACTGAGGGGTTCAAATCTCTCTCAGGTGCTCCCTGTTTGTAGAGCGCTTGTGGTTGGGGACAGTCTGATGAGCTTGGAGGATGCTTGGGAGTTTTGAGTTTTGATTTGTTTCCAAGAAAAGGAGTAATTTGAGTAAAATCGAGAAAGGAGTAATGGTGAGATGGGGTAAACCAAAAGGGGAGAAAGAATGAGCAACAGAGACATCCTGGAAGGGCTTCCTGGGTGCTCAGTTCATATGGCTTTGACTGGGCACTCAGGCCTCCGAGCCAAGCGCAGGTTGGCTGACACCCCCTCATCCCCTCCAAAACACTGCTTCTTGTCCAGCCCACGTCAAGGTCACTGCAGGCCTCCCAAGATGAACTTTAAGGGAGCCTTTGTAAAGACAGACTGGTAGATTTGGGGGTATGGGACATCTGGCTTCTCAGCATACTCATCCACTATCTTGGATTTTTAAAGTACCAATCTTTTAAATCCCAGGTGGAAAAATAGAGAGAGAAAGTGAGAAAATACATGTGTTTTATTCACCTTCCCTTTTTTCCTGCATGTCTGTTCCATGGTATTAAGAGTAGTGCTAAAGTATCTTTGAGAAGTTTCTGATACTATCAAAATGGGCCAAACACTTCTTAGACTTGGATACTTACCTCTCCCTAACCCCCCTTTTTTCTCTCTCTCACACTGAAAGGTAATGACTGGCCAATCACATTTACCCCAAAATCTGGTTTGAAGAGCTAGAAAGAAGTAAAAGCCTCTTGTGGCAACAGGAATATTTGATATTTCAGAATTACTAAAGATCTCCTCCCTAGATCACTTATTCTCTGCTGCCTTCGAGGGGAAAAAAGTTTCTTTGCTGACAGTTTGTTATCAAGAAGAAATGCCAGTGCTTCTGGAGACAGGATTTTTCAAAACTCAATCGTATATTTGAAAAATTAAGCAAGTTACCCAATTGGAGCCTTTCACTGACCTCCAGAGAGGACTTGACATCTCAAGTACCTATCAATATTGATTTTCTTTTAACCTTCCCCCTTCTAAAGAAACTCAGTGACAGGTTGCAAATCCTGGGCAGTGTAGGGAAAGGTTTCTTGGAGCTTAACAAAGCTGTCATTTTCAATACCCCCATGACTTTTTTTTTTTTTTTAGCTCTTGAATGTGATTTGAGGGAAGCTCAACAACCACACACCCTAGCTGCTTCGCCAATATCAATATTTTAAAACTAAATACAAAAGAGACAAATGACCTCCTGACCCCAGGACCCAGGCCTGCAAAACTGCAAGTATTTACCACACCAGGCCCAGGGCCCTTTCCTTCTTCCAGGTGAACCACAAAAATCATATGTGTGTAGCCCAGAAAACACAATTTCATATCCACAAGGAGGAACACCAAAAATCCACTCAAAAGCATATATATAAACAACCAACAAGTACTGAAATTGCCTGCACTTGATGGGAATTGCAGAATCATGCCCAGCTCTCTCAGCCCTTAAACTACTAACTGTCAAATTAGGGTAGCAATTTTTCCCTCCTAGAAAACTCACAACTGGTTAGCTCCCCCACCCCCACCCCCCCACTGCCAGTGCTTTGCCTTTCACTGAAAGGAATAAATAACCGTGGACTTTTCTTCCGTCCTCTGGGAGCTGTTTGGTGTCCCCTGAGGACAAAACTAAATGAGAAAAATGACGCTGTTAATAATGTCGCTACTGAAATGCCTGTACTCGACTGTTAAAAAAAAAAAAAAAAATACCATCCCACTAAGTGTGCTTACATTTCGGGCACATTTAAAAGCTACGACTGAATGTGAACAGCGACTAGGCCAGACTCCTCTATTAAGGTTAGCCGGTTTCCACTTCTCTCCAGAGATGAAGCGAGTTCATCAGCAGAGAGTCCCAACTTCTGAAGACATTTGCTCCCGGATTACAAAGTCAGCAGTTGCCTGAAACTTCTGCATGATTTATTTTAAACCTTGAAAATCATGGTAATAATTGCCTTGCTTCACTTACAGTTCTTCAAAAGTTCCTTCCAGTCTCCTCTGCTAAGGCTGGGAATGTACTTATCGTCCTTTTCAAAACAGCTGACCTTTAAAGTAAAACTATACTATCATTTTATTTCTACGTATAAACTGATTTTTTGTTACCTATCTACATATGCCGATGTGACAGGAAAACAGATCAGTTTTAAGGAGGTGTTTAAAAAGCTTTATCCTTATTTTGGATAAGGAGTCTTTACATTCTATATTAAGAAGTGTAGAAGGTGTACTGCAAAGAAACTCAAACTTTTTGCACCCATTTCTCTAATTCTTCCTTTGAAAACTGCCATTCTGTTTCAAAATCAAAATAACACATGACAACAGAATTGTGCATTTTAACTTTCAAATTAAAATTTAACAAATAATTGTGTAATTACAAAGAGAAAGACAAACTATTGGGCCTACACAAAATATATGTTCAGTAAACTTCATCTCCGAAATGTTTTAACAACACAGAAAGTTAATAAATTTCAAAGCAATAAAATTGTCAAATCGTGTGATGTCACAAACTCTAAAAGCAAGGTTACAGATGTTCATGACATCATATTCACTCATAATTATACTGCTGCTCAGTCTGATTATATTAAAATTAAAAGATGTCTATGTCTGCTAAAGAATAAAAGGAATTTATTTTGGACATCAAACAATGAAACTGTCACCATTTATTGTATGAAACACTCAGCTAATCAATTTCCTATTAAAACAGCTTTCAACAATCCTCAGCTTTAAAATTCATCGGGGCCAGTAAAAACCTTTTCCCAGTGCACAAGAATGCAGTCCCAACCACGACGATAATTACCCTTCTAATACTTTTATTGCCCAAGCACTTTTTCTTATGCTCCCCATCAGTTAGGCAAGAATCTGCAGTATATTGTATCAGTGAGTTGGAGTGCTTGACCTTTGCCCACATATGATTTAATAGGGACTTTTCAGCACTGGAGCTTTCTCCATCTCTCATACCATTAAATGAAAACATCAAACCTCAAATGTAAAACTGGAAACCACAACGTTTTGTGTTTCACAACTCTTTGCCGTTTTTACTTAGGCTGCTTAAAGGTCAGCTTTCTAGCTTCAGGACCCTCGCTCCTCCACCCCACCCCCATACAAGTAAAGGTACTCAAAAGTCACACTATAATTCTGATTTTGATTAAATCTTGAACTCCCCAGTCAGATACACACATGCACCCTGCTTATTTACACGTGCATTCTTTTTCTAACCACATAAGCATGCCTGTATGGCTTTCTGGATTTATTCCATTTTAGAGCTGATTTAAATGTCTGTTCAATATGGGTTCAAAAGTTAACTTTTTCCCGCCTGTTGGAAAATTAAAATTACAAAGGATGGTGCTATAAGATTCAATCAAAGAACGTTAGAGTTAATCTTGTGTATTTTGGCGCCTTTTCCCTGCCAGCTACTGTACTTGGGTGGGGGGGAGGGGGAGGCGGGACTTGGAGATCTTGTCTGTCCCGTCTCAAGTTCAATGGCAGTTCTTCTAACCGGAGGAGAAGATGGCCATGTTCACAGCCCTAATAATAATTCCAATCACACCACTTCGGCATCTTGTGTCAAAGTCGAAACTGGCTTCCCCGCCCCCTTCAACCTGAAAGCTGCCAAGTCCTCACACACTCCGCATTCAACCACAACTTAATGGATGGGATATTGTGCATTAAAATGTGTCCCAGACGTAGTGGCGAAGAGAGCACAAGGGAAAAGGGAGGCGCGCGCGCGCGCGCGCGCACACACACACACACACACACACACACATTCTCTCTTAGAGGGGTAAAAATCCTAGAGCAAAAACAGCGGGACTTAAAAAAAAAAAAGTATTAGGAGCGGGAAGAAATCCATCACAATCTTTTTTTTAAACGGGGAGGGAGGTGTGGGAGGACTAACAATTTGATCCTGCAACTTCAGGGGCAAGATGGGGGGCGGGGGGAACTGAACTTGGGAATATTGATTTTAAAAACTCTTAACACACCAACCAGAGCTAAATAAATAGTACTACCCTCACTTTTTTTTTTTCAAATGCACTTTTAAATGAGAATATGTAACAAAGCTGTGCACATTCACCTTAAAGTGGTGGAAAGAATGCTATGAAAAGAGAGAATGTTCAACTAAAATATCATTTGCACAGGAATTTTTTCCAGCATTGGGAGGAGGAGGAAATAGGGAATTAAGCAGGGAAAATGTTACATTTCACAGTTTGGGCTCACAATGTTATCCACTGATTCCCGCAATAAAAGTGTGACACATATAGTAAAGTTGCTAAGGCTAAAAAAATAAAATAAAATAAAATATATATTTGCATTGGCCTGGAAATCAAGCGCTATAGCTCAACCTATTAAAGCAGATGACATTTAAGTATAAAACAGTCACTTCACAATGCACAAACAGGGGAAAAGAAAACTGTGTTTGGGGTGAAGGGGGTGCAAGGGACGAACAAGACGAGCAAATCAAACCCATCATTCAAAGCCACATACCATTGCACCGTATTGCATTAAATAAAAGAGATCTTGAGTCTGCAACAGAACCCTGGGCCGTGGACTTCACGTGTCTCAGGTAGAGATTTGAGGATTTTCTCAAAGGTTGTTTGGGTGTCGCTTTTTGTGCTTAGTTAAAAAAAAAAAAATGCAATCCGGGAGTAGTCTTTTATTTTTAAAATTATTATTTCTGCAATGCCCCAGTTCTTGGCCCGAGAAGAAAAAGTCAAGTCTAAAAGCAAGCAGCCCCCTCAGTCTGGATATCCCGTTTTCCTTCCTCTCACTTGCTGAAGTCTGTTTCTCGTGGTTGACTTGAACACCGTCCAGAGTGATGTGTGTGTGTGTGTGTCTGTCTGTGTGTGTGCGTGTGCGTGTGTGTGTTCGGTGGGTTTTATTGTTGTTTTAACAGGGCCGCTCTAGGGGTGGGGGCTGCCTCCCCTCTCGGGCCCGGGC